CAAGAACACAACCTCAGAGTATCAAAGTACACACTCTGGCGACTCTTACACTCTTTCGGGTATCGTTATAAGAAAATTTCGGGGGAGAATAGGTCAGTACTCTGTGAACGCCCTGATATCGTTCGCTTGAGAAATATTTTTCTCAGGGTTATAGAGAAGAAGCACGAGGATGGGTTCGAGCCAGTGTACTTAGACGAGACCTGGGTCAATGCCTCGCACACTGCCAGCAGTCAGTGGGTACCCGATGGGGGTGAAAAGGGGTCACGTAGAAAGCTGCCTCTAGGAAAAGGTGAGAGACTAATCATTCTCCATGCTGGTTGCTCCAGCAAAGGCTTTCTCCCAGGCTGCGACTTGGTATTCAGGGCAAAGTCCGCAGATAACAGAGACTACCATTCCGAGATGAATGGTGCAGTTTTCCTCGATTGGGTTAAAAAGAAGTTGGTACCAGCTCTACCAGAGAAGTCTTTTATCGTAATGGACAATGCCCCATACCACAGTGTGCAGGACACCGACAGTAAAGCCCTGACATCGAACAGTCGAAAAGGTGATATGATATCATGGCTCGACAAATTTCAGATCGCACGGCCTTCAAAGGCAACGAAGCCTCAGCTATATGAGATCATAAAAACCCACAAAGGTGAACCTTTCTACAAAGTTGACAGTTACATAAAAAGTAAGGGTCACGATATTCTGCGACTTCCACCCTATCACTGTGACCTTAACCCCATTGAAATGATATGGGGTATTGTCAAAGGAGATGTTGCCAGATCAAACACAACTTTTAGATTACGTGACGTAGAGGTTTTGGTTAAGGAATCCCTTAACAAAATCACGACTGAAACTTGGCAAAACTGTGTCAACAAGGCAGCTAACGTCATTGAACAAGGTTACTGGTCTCGGGATGGCTGACAACAGGCAACTGTGGCACCACTTGTCATCCCTATAAGTCGTGACTATGACACTACGACAGACGAGGAACCGACAGGTCTCCCAGAATAGATTTTGAGATGTCCCCCCACCATGACTGGCTGTTCCGTTTCTGCGGTTTCACCCCGCCGCAACAGATAACAACTTTTGCATTTTCAATGATGATAGTTTCTTAAACAACTTTTTTGGTGGAGTCCGGAAAATTTTCAAATATAAGAAAGCTGTTGGGTATTAGTAAATGATAAACGTGTACTATTTATATTTATGTGGCAATTTTGTAGTGATAAAATTTGCAATTCATCGGTCCGTTTCTGACTCAAACGGACTATAGTGTGTGTTCCACCAACTATGTATTGTGTAGTGAGTGTTACATCACCTGTGTTTTGTGTGTAGTGAGTGTTACATCAGCTGTGTGTTTTGTGTAGTGAGTGTTATATCCGCTGGGTGTTGTGTGTAGTGAGTGTTACATCAGCTGTTACATCAGCTTGGTGTTGTGTGTAGGTAGTGTTACATCACCTGTGTTTTGTGTGTAGTGTTACATCAGTTGTGTGTAGTGTTATATCAGCTGTGTGTTGTGTAGTGTTTCATCAGCTGTGTGTTGTGTAGTGTTACATCAGCTGTGTGTTATGTGTAGTGTTACATCAGCTGTGTGTTGTGTGTAGTGAGTGTTACATCAGCTGTGTGTTGTGTAGCGTTACATCAGCTGTGTGTTATGTGTAGTGTTACATCAGCTGTGTGTTGTGTGTAGTGAGTGTTACATCAGCTGTATGTTATGTGTAGTGTTACATCAGCTGTGTGTTGTGTGTAGTGAGTGTTATATCAGCTGTGTGTTGTGTAGTGTTACGTCAGTTGTGTGTAGTGAGTGTTACATCAGCTTTGTGTTGTGTGTAGTGAGTGTTACATCAGCTGTGTGTTGTGTGTAGTGAGTGTTACATCAGCTGTGTGTAGTTAGTGTTCCACCAACTGTGTGTTGTGTGTACAGTCCGTTTGAGTCAGAAACGCACCGATGAATTGCAAATTTTATCATTGTCACATAAATATAAATAGTACACATGTGTATCATTTACTAATACCCAACAGCTTTCTTATATTTGAAAATTTTCCGGACTCCACCAAAAGTTGTTTAAGAAACTATCATCATTGAAAACGCGAAAAGTTGTTATCTGTCACGCAGGGGTGAAACCGCAGAAACAGAACAGCCACTATCTCGTCGCGGCACAGGATACACATGCCCTGATGAAAATGAAGTTGAATGCTGGCGTGAAACAGTTGATGATTTAAGTGTACGATTTTTTCCATGCTGAAGCCGAAAGGGGCAAACCATTTTATGCCATTAATAAATTCCGTAAGCAGGCAGCAAAAGCAATAGGAGTATCAGCAAGGGTACTGACAAATGTTCTGGAACACAAACATTGTGAGGGTGATGCAAAGCAGATAGGGGTCGTGTCAAAATCACACAAATTAAAACATTTGGACAACTTTCAAAAGAACCTTGTAAGGCAGTCTATCAACAAGCTCTATTCTGAAAACAAACATGTCGCTGAAATTTTTAAAAAAGCATTTGAAGCAAGAACACAACCTCAGAGTATCAAAGTACACACTCTGGCGACTCTTACACTCTTTCGGGTATCGTTATAAGAAAATTTCGGGAAGAATAGGTCAGTACTCTGTGAACGCCCTGATATCGCTTAAACTTGAGAAATATTTTTCTCAGGGTTATAGAGAAGAAGCACGAGGATGGGTTCGAGCCAGTGTACTTAGACGAGACCTGGGTCAATGCCTCGCACACTGCCAGCAGTCAGTGGGTACCCGATGGGGGTGAAAAGGGGTCACGTAGAAAGCTGCCTCTAGGAAAGAGTGAGAGACTAATCATTCTCCATGCTGGTTGCTCCAGCAAAGGCTTTCTCCCAGGCTGCGACTTGGTATTCAGGGCAAAGTCCGCAGATAACAGAGACTATCATTCCGAGAGAATGGTGCAGTTTTCCTCTATTGGGTTAAAAAGAAGTTGGTACCAGCTCTACCAGAGAAGTCTTTTATCGTAATGGACAATGCCCCATACCACAGTGTGCAGGACACCGACAGTAAAGCCCTGACATCGAACAGTCGAAAAGGTGATATGATATCATGGCTCGACAAATTTCAGATCGCACGGCCTTCAAAGGCAACGAAGCCTCAGCTATATGAGATTATAAAAACCCACAAAGGTGAACCTTTCTACAAAGTTGACAGTTACATAAAAAGTAAGGGTCACGATATTCTGCGACTTCCACCCTATCACTGTGACCTTAACCCCATTGAAATGATATGGGGTATTGTCAAAGGAGATGTTGCCAGATCAAACACAACTTTTAGATTACGTGACGTAGAGGTTTTGGTTAAGGAATCCCTTAACAAAATCACGACTGAAACTTGGCAAAACTGTGTCAACAAGGTAGCTAACGTCATTGAACAAGGTTACTGGTCTCGGGATGGCTGACAACAGGCAACTGTGGCACCACTTGTCATCCCTATAAGTCATGACTATGACACTACGACAGACGAGGAACCGACAGGTCTCCCAGAATAGATTTTGAGATGTCCCCCCGCCATGACTGGCTGTTCCGTTTCTGCGGTTTCACCCCGCCGCAACAGATAACAACTTTTGCATTTTCAATGATGATAGTTTCTTAAACAACTTTTTTGGTGGAGTCCGGAAAATTTTCAAATATAAGAAAGCTGTTGGGTATTAGTAAATGATAAACGTGTACTATTTATATTTATGTGGCAATTTTGTAGTGATAAAATTTGCAATTCATCGGTCCGTTTCTGACTCAAACGGACTATAGTGTGTGTTCCACCAACTATGTATTGTGTAGTGAGTGTTACATCACCTGTGTTTTGTGTGTAGTGAGTGTTACATCAGCTGTGTTTTGTGTGTAGTGAGTGTTATATCAGCGGTGTGTTGTGTGTAGTGAGTGTTACATCAGCTGGGTGTTGTGTGTAGTGAGTGTTATATCAGCAGTGTGTTGTGTGTAGTGAGTGTTACATCAACTGTGTGTTGTGTGTAGTGAGTGTTACATCACCTGTGTGTTGTGTGTAGTGAGTGTTACATCAACTGTGTGTTGTGTGTAGTGAGTGTTATATCAGCGGTGTCTTGTGTGTAGTGAGTGTTATATCAGCTGTGTGTTGTGTGTAGTGAGTGTTATATCAGCTGTGTGTTATGTGAAGTGAGTGTTATATCAGCTGTGTGTTGTGTGTAGTGAGTGTTACATCAGCAGTGTGTTGTGTGTAGTGAGTGTTACATCAACTGTGTGTTATGTGAAGTGAGTGTTACATCAGCTGGGTGTTGTGTGTAGTGAGTGTTACACCAGCTGGGTGTTGTGTCTAGTGAGGTGAGGTGAGGTGAAATTGGGTCTAATGTCGTGCTTGAGAATATTTCGCTCATATGACGACGTGCATGCGTGTGTATGTGTATGTACGGCTGCTTGTACTAGGCCAGACTGAAGCTGATCTTATAGTGCTAGCCCAATGAGAAACCATGCCGCAGTGAAGCATGAATACCCCACTCAAACACATTATACTGACTCCGAGCCGACCAGTCCTTGTTGTACCCATTAATGCCGAGCGCCAGGCAGGGACCAACAAGTACCAAGTTTGAATGTCTTTTGGTATGATGCGGTCGGGGATCGAACCCGCAACCTTCAGCTATGTGTTGTGTGTTGTGAGTGTTACGTAAGCTATGTGTTGTGTGCAGTGACTAAGTGACTGTTACATCAGGTGTGTTCGTGTAGTGTTACATCACCTATATATTGTGTGTAGTAAGTGTTACATCAGCTGTGTGTTGTGAGTGTTACATCAGCTATGTGTTGTGTGCAGTGACTAAGTGACTGTTACATCAGGTGTGTTCGTGTAGTGTTACATCACCTATATATTGTGTGTAGTAAGTGTTACATCAGCTGTGTGTTGTGTTCAGTGACTAAGTGACTGTTACATCAGGTGTGTTCGTGTAGTGTTACATCACCTGTATATATTGTGTGTAGTAAGTGTTACATCAGCTGTGTGTTGTGTTCAGTGAATGTTGTTTCTTGTTACAGGGCGGAAGTTGTTACCCAAGAGTGAGGAAGCCACGATAACACAAGAGGAATACAATGAACTGAAGACGTTTCTGGTGTCCAATGTCAAGTGTCCCCCACCACAACCCTCCCTCATCTATCTGGGCAGCCAGGTCTCACTCAGTAGTCCAGTAGCATGACACTTATATGACATCATAGGTTTCTTCATGAGATAGGCCTTAGCAATCTCAGACACAGACTGCTCATTTTAGTTTGTTATATACTGACCCACAATGAAAACGCATAAGTTTTTTTTTTTCAGATCATTTCTCGAAACATGAGTGAGAAGTACTTATGATGCACTGAATATTTTAAATGAATGTTCAAGACTTGATTAGGAACAGTTGTTCAAGTTCAAATCCACTTCATGCTTCCGGAAACAGAAACAGTCGTGAAAACACATTTTTTATCATTCGATGAAACACAGCAAGGCAATCCTGACAATGAAAATGCACGTGCACTTCGTGAGGTCTTTCCCATATAATGCACGTGTATAGAGAGCTCAGTAGCCTGTCTTAAACATGCCGCGACTGAATCTGCAACAACATGCACACGCTCTGGGACTCTTTGAAGCCGGTATTTCACAAAATGTTGTTGCTAGGCGCCTTAATGTCAACCAGTCCACCATTAGCCATCTTGTCAGTCATCACCAGATGACAGGGAGCGTTGCCGTCTGCCCTTGACCAGGATGACTTCCGGTTACAACTGCCAGACAAGATCAACAGATGCGACTGGCGCACATTCGAGATCGCTTCAGAATGGCAACAGCAACAGCAGCAGCTACGATTGGTTGCCATGGAAGAAGGATCCACCCATCGACAGTCATTCGACACCTGAGACAGGCCGAACTGAACTGTCGACATCCATAACATGGCCCTGTGCTTCAGCCCCGTCACCGCCAAGCCCGGCGTCAATTCGCACAGCAGTATGCGCAACAACAACCACTTTTCTTCCGTGGGCTTGGCTTTTCAGACGAGTCACGGTATTGTGTGTCAATTGTGGATGGAAGACAGTGTGTTTACAGACGTCATGAGGAACATTATGCAGGCCCCTGTGTCAGACAGAGAAATTGATTGGTGGTGGTAGTGTAATGGTTTTGGGGGGACATCAAAGCTTGTTTCAGGAGTGATCTGCTTGTCATCCAAGGTAATCAGACTGCACAGCGTTATGTGGATAAAGTCCTGAGACCCGTAGTGGTTCCTCATTGCTTCATTGCCCCATTGTTTTAATGCCTGCGTCAGGGCAAATGAAGGACACACAAGATACTGACAGTGTTTAAAGGGGTGACCTTGTTTGACCTTATCTGTACCACTCGCATTTGCTGATATCCAACTTTTTCAAAACCATAATATATAATATATATATCATTGCTTATTACCCACATCATCAACTGAAAATGATTTTGCATCTAAACCTTTGTGTTTTGTCACTCACATCAAAATCCGTTACGAGTTTTCATTGCTGGTCAGTATAATAATGGTTGGTTGTATCAGTTGTGTGTAGTGAGTTTTACATCAGCTGTGTGTTATGTGTAGTGAGTTTTACATTAGCTGTGTGTTATGTGTAGTGAGTTTTACATCAGCTGTGTGTTATGTGTAGTGAGTTTTACATCAGCTGTGTGTTGTGTGTAGTGAGTTTTACATCAGCTGTGTGTTATATGAAGTGAGTGTTACATCAGCAGTGTGTTGTGTGTAGTGAGTGTTATATCAGCAGTGTGTTATGTGTAGTGAGTGTTACATCAGCTGTGTGTTGTGTGTAGTGAGTGTTATATCAGCAGTGTATTGTGTAGTGAGTGTTACATCAGCTGTGTGTTGTGTGTAGTGAGTGTTATATCAGCAGTGTATTGTGTAGTGAGTGTTACATCAACTGTGTGTTGTGTGTAGTGAGTGTTATATCAGTGTTGTGTTGTGTGTAGTGAGTGTTACATCAGCTGTGTGTTGTGTGTAGTGAGTGTTATATCAGTGTTGTGTTGTGTAGTGAGTGTTATATCAGCGTTGTGTTGTGTAGTGAGTGTTACATCAGCTGTGTGTTATGTGTAGTGGGTGTTATATCAGCGGTGTGTTGTGTGTAGTGAGTGTTACATCAGCGTTGTGTTGTGTGTAATGAGTGTTACATCAGCGTTGTGTTGTGTGTAGTGAGTTTTACATCAGCTGTGTGTTGTGTGTAGTGAGTGTTATATCAGTGTTGTGTTGTGTGTAGTGAGTGTTACATCAACTGTGTGTTGTGTGTAGTGAGTGTTATATCAGTGTTGTGTTGTGTAGTGAGTGTTATATCAGTGTTGTGTTGTGTAGTGAGTGTTATATCAGTGGTGTGTTGTGTGTAGAGAGTGTTATATCAGCTGTGTGTTATGTGAAGTGAGTGTTATATCAGCTGTGTGTTGTGTGTAGGGAGTGTTATATCAGCGTTGTGTTGTGTAGTGAGTGTTATATCAGTGTTGTGTAGTGAGTGTTATATCAGCGGTGTGTTGTGTGTAGAGAGTGTTATATCAGCTGTGTGTTATGTGAATTGAGTGTTATATCAGCTGTGTGTTGTGAGTGTTACATCACCTGTGTGTTGTGTGTAGCGAGTGTAATATCAGCGGTGTGTTGGGTGTAGTGCGTGTTACATCACCTATGTGTTGTGTGTAGTGAGTGCTACATCAGCTGTGTGTTGTGTGTAGTGAGTGTTACATCACCTGTGTGTTGTGTGTAGGGTGTGTTATATCAGCTGTGTGTTTTGTGTAGTGAGTTTTACATCAGCGATGTGTTGTATGTAGTGAGTGTAATAACAGTTGTGTGTAGTGAGTGTAACATCAGCTGTGTGTTGTGTGCAGTGAGTTTTACATTAGCGGTGTGTTGTGTGTAGTGAGTGTTACATCAGCTGTGTGTTGTGTAGTGAGTGTTACATCAACTGTGTGTTGTGTGTAGTGAGTGTTACATCAGCGGTGTGTTGTGTGTAGTGAGTGTTATATCAGTGGTGTGGTGTGTGTAGTGAGTGTTACATCAACTGTGTGTTGTATGTAGTGAGTGTTACATCAGCTGTGTGTTATGTGTAGTGAGTGTTATATTAGCGGTGTGTTGTGTAGTGAGTGTTATATCAGCGATGTCTTGTGTGTAGTGAGTGTTATATCAGCGGTGTGTTGTGCGTGTTGTATGTAGTGTATCAGCGGTGTGAGTGTGTATATCATCAGTGTGTTGTATGTAGTGAGTGTTATATCAGCGGTGTGTTGTGTGTAGTGAGTGTTACATCAGCTGTGTGTTGTGTGTAGTGAGTGTTACATCAGCTGTGTGTTGTGTGTAGTGAGTGTTACATCAGCAGTGTTTTGTGTGTAGTGAGTGTTACATCAGCAGTGTTTTGTGTGTAGTGTTACATCAGTTGTGTGTAGTGAGTGTTATATCAGCGGTGTGTTGTGTGTAGTGAGTGTTACATCAGCTGTGTGTTGTGTGTAGTGAGTGTAACTGTCAGACATCTTTGATCAAGTCATGTAACAATATAAGTGTTCCCTGTGTTGTCTTAACCTTTCTGCTTGTAACTGAAGGAGGAAAATGAGGACAATGTTTAAGAACTTAATCCAGTTAATTTAAACAACAACCAAAAAAACAAAACAAATTATCTTTTGAATTGATCAAAATCTTACATGGTGATATGTTTCACTTGCAAAGGAATCAGAAGAAGAGAATACATTATCCCTGACTGAATGGATGCTATGGCAAAACCGGCTGCAGGACACACAACTTGTTGATCACTCACAGCGCAGTCAGCATCTGGTGGAGTTGGTCGAGTTTCTCCAACTTCAGGGTGAGTAGAAGCATGTAAACAGCTTATAGCCACACACAGTAGGTGAACTTGCTACTCATCAGTACTAACAAATATCTACCTCCATACAGTAACCTGTAATACCCAAATTTACTTTATTTAAAAAATATTCTTTAAAAATTAGCTGATACCTAATAACTTTAAATTTCGAAAATTGTAAGAGAGATTATTTTCTAGTAATAGTTGTATCATGAATAATTTGGAAACACATTACCACCCATAAGGAAGTATATCAGTAGATATGATGATCTTAAAGGACTATTGAGGTGGATTTATCAACTTTACATTTTTTAATCAATATGGCATGATACAACAAAGGGTGTCAGTTTATTACTTTGATTGTTCAGTCCCGGTACCCTTCCTTGCACAATATGGAGTTGTGGAAATGGGACAACAAAGGGTGTCAGTTTATTACTTCGATTGTTCAGTCCAGGGACCCTTCCTTGCACAATATGGAGTTGTGGAAATGGGACAACAAAGGGTGTCAGTTTATTACCTCTATTGTTCAGTCCAGGGACCCTTCCTTGCACAATATGGAGTTGTGTTCAAAGTGATACCACCCTACTCCATAACCAATGTCTTGATATTCATTTCAATATTGCCAGACCATGTGTATCAAGGAAACTCAATGAAAAATACTGCATGCAGCGCGTTATAGTACCTTCAGTTGATGAGGTTGGTGCAGGGTTTAGTAACATTAGTTGATGAGGGTTATAGTAACTTCAGTTGAAGAGGTTGATACGGGTTATAGTAACATTAGTTGATGAGGTTGATACGGGTTATAGTAACATTAGTTGATGAGGGTTATAGTAACTTCAGTTGAAGAGGTTGATACGGGTTATAGTAACATTAGTTGATGAGGTTAATACGGGTTATAGTAACATTAGTTGATGAGGTTGATACATTAGTTGATGAGGTTGATACGGGTTATAGTAACATTAGTTGATGAGGTTGATACGGGTTATAGTAACATTAGTTGATGAGGTTGATACGGGTTATAGTAACATTAGTTGATGAGGTTGATACGGGTTATAGTAACATTAGTTGATGAGGTTGATACGGGTTATAGTAACATTAGTTGATGAGGGTTATAGTAACATTAGTTGATGAGGTTGATACGGGTTATAGTAACATTAGTTGATGAGGTTGATACGGGTTATAGTAACATTAGTTGATGAAGTTGATACGGGTTATAGTAACATTAGTTGATGAGGTTGATACGGGTTATAGTAAGTTCAGTTTATGAGGATGGTGCAGTTTTATACAAGAAAGAAATGTCTCCAAAATTATGTTACTCCCAAAATACAATGAACCTAAAATTAATAATGCTACCCAACCGAGCTTAATCTGAACCCAACCCAAAATCTTTTTTCAACCATTTTCTCACATGACATCAGAAATACAATATCAACTAGTCCTACGGATGCTTGTTTAAATGCAAGGCAATACAAACATGAATAATGATAATTTTTCCTTATCCTGACTCATGCTCTTTTGCTTGTCTTCTTCTTCTTGCGAACATAGTGGAAACACTTGAATCTCCTTAATTGAAGCTCCCTTCAATGTAAAATCACTAATTAGTACTCACCACGAGTTGCTCCCCTTTAATCCCTTTGGCGGGAAAGGTGTCGCCACCCTACACCTCGTGCTTCACTCTCTCCTTCTGCCCAGTGAGCAGGATGTGAGAGCGCCTGTGTCTCCTTATACAACATATCCTTTGATATTTCTTAGTTTATTACCTCTTATAGTTTACTATAGAGGTATAGCTAGTATCCTTCAGTAATTTGTATTGATTATTTATCGTATTTCTACTGTTTATTCACGTTTATTCGTGATTGTTCAGCTAGTATTACGTTGATGAAAATCTGTACTATTTGTAGATTACGTTTTTCTGCCTCAGATCCGCATGTAATATGCCCTAGTTGTTCTACGCCGTGTGCGTTTGATTCACGTTGCAGTTATTGCATTAATTTATCTAATTCTGCATTTAATAAATATTATCTTTGCGTCTTAAGACGTGCTGCAGATAGGTCCGCGCAAACAAGGGCTAAATATGGCTGATACTCCAGATACTCCATCTAGTCAGCTGCTGGCGATCGACCCCCTACCGTCTGGTGTTCTGCTAGAGACCCCATCGGAAGAGGGACGTGGGACGCAGTCCGTCACCTCTAAGAAGCGACCGGCCTCCCCAGACATCCCGTCATCGCAGCTAAAGTCCAAGAGGACCTCGACGTCTTCTCAACGCAGACTTCGTACCCCCAGGGCAGCGTCGACATCCAAAGGAAAGTCTACGAAGACAGCGAGAACCTTCTCAGCGAGATCGTTCCAGCCCGAAGAAATGGGCCTCTACGATGACCAGCCGATTATCATCCCGACATACGGCACAAGAAGCGACCGGTGTCAGCGACAGTGACTTCAGCGCCAGATCTCCATGCAGCCTGATGCCTCTACACTGATGTCAGGCGTTATTGCTGTGGACCCCATCATTAACACCGCAGAGAAGGCTCAGGCGACATCGTCGCCAGACCATCCCTGATGACCTGATGCAGCAAATTATGGCGATGATGGAAGACCGATATAGACTGCAGAAGCAAGGACCGAGCCTTGAGCGAAAGGCTCCAACGTGAACAGCACCCCAGAGGCACCCCCGTCAACGTAGCAGCCAGGGCGATGTCACCTTCGCGAAGGAAGGCACGGACCACCTCCTCGAAGGACCTAGATGTACAGCCTTCGCGAAGGCCTTGGCGGCGGGGATAGATCATCACCCTCGTCACTTTCATCCCAAGATGTGGACTCGGACCATCAGACATCACGAAAGCCTTAGCGAAGGTCTTATCGTAATTCCCCGGACGGGCCTTGAGAGGAAGCTTCGCGAAGGCATTCGCGAAGGGCAGCTGAATCAGATCATCATCATCTAGAAGGACATCGAGGGACTACACAAGAGCTTCGCGAAGCCATCAACGTTCTCCTCACAGGTCACCGAGAAGATCAACCCATAGACATAGATCACCTAGACGATCTCCTCCTCGTTCATCACCACGTAGATCACCTTACAGGTCACCATACAGAGCTGCACAAGCATCGCCGGACGTAGAGACAGAAGCACGCAGTCCAGAGCAGCACCAACCTCTCATCAATGATGATGGTATAGAGGATGATGGAGGAGTTATTTTCTCCGATGCTGAGATACGGTATTGGATGGTCAATAACCTAGATCTCTCATCACCATCTAAAAATGGCAATGTGGCGCAGACATATCTGATGAAAGAAGACGATGCAGATGCTATCACACTACCACCGATCGACCCGATTGCAACAGTCCCACAGAATCTAGATGCAGCATTCCACAAAGCCACGAAAGTTCAGACACCACATCTACCAAACTTTCATGCCAAGAAGTTTTCCACGCATAACATGGACCCCTTCTTCAAAGCTCAAGACATCGATGAGAACTATAAGTTGATCAGCGATGTCAAGTACAAATTACAAGATTGATGATGCAAGTTAGTCCAGATAGAAACCATGGCCGAGGCGTATGTTTTGGTTCAAATAGATCTAGAGCGATCAATGAGACTCTTATCACCAGATTTCGTGATACGACTTCTGAGGATGATAGAATGATTTATTCTGCCTTACTTATGCAAAAGAAAGACCAGCAGTTCCTAACAGATCATCTTACATCTATTTCAGCAGCACTGACCTTAGCTCGTCGTCAAGGCCTCCTCGCTTCCTGCAACTGGGGTGAGAACTTTACAGCCCCACTGTATACAGCCCCGTGGTCTTCAACATCCATCTTTAACGGAGAAATAGACAAAGTTTCCAAGGAAGTCACTAAGGATTCCAGAGAAGTCCTTATGATTAAATCGATGGACACACTAGCCAGCGTCATTCGACAGACTTCACAAAGATACTCAGGAAGATCTAAATTCACGGGCCTACAGAGAGCACGAGACAGGAAGATAGCCAGCTCTAGAGGAAAAGATTCTTTTAAATAAGCCCATTAGAAACAACTATAGAGGAGGATCAGGAAGAGGCAGGACACCCAGAGGTTCCCGCAACTATAAACGCTGGAAGACAGATTCGGAACGACTGGAGTCTTCCACCCCCAGCCGTTCCAGTACAACCATCTCAAGTGGGTGGACGCCTCCAACTATACTGGGAAAACTGGGGAATGTTACAAGACCCTTATGTCTCCACCATTCTTCGTCACAGATTTCGTATCCCACTAAAGGCCAAGCCTCCGCTGACAGTCAACCCTCACAAGTTCGACTTACAGGCACAACAACTACCGAAGTTAAGAGAGGCTGTTACATCACTCCTAATAAAGCAGGCCATAGAAGTACTAGACCAAGACAACATAGAACCAGGTTTCTACTCCCCAGTTTTCCTAGTTCCCAAGAAAAACTCCAAGGAAAAATACAGACTCATCTACAACATGAGCTTTTTCAACAAGAACTATCTACGCAAACCTCCGAAGTTCCGCATGATACATTTACCTCAGTTACGGCAGTTGATTCGCCCCATGGACTACATGGGCAGTATCGATCTACAGGACGCTTACCTGCACATCCCCATACACTCCAAAGCCAGGAAATACCTACGGCTTACTTTAGACGGGCAACATTACCAGTGGAAAGTGCTCCCATTCGGAATATCATCAGCCCCCTGGCTTTTCACGAGGATAACGAAACCGATTATCACCTATCTTCATCATCAAGGGCTACGCAGTGCGTTTTACCTCGACGACGGGATACAAGTAGATCAAGATCCACAGCATCTCAAACTACAGTTAAACTACATCATAAAGCTACTAACACAGCTAGGATGGTTAGTAAACTTACTCAAGTCGGACCTAGTACCGTCACAAGACCTACAGTTCCTAGGCATTCGATTTATCACAAACCTCAACCGTATCGTCGTACCAGAAGACCGTTGGATCAAGATCCAACAGACCATCCCACAATGGCAGAGCCTCCTAGGTC